CTGCTGTAGAAATTAAATAATAGTTATAAGCAGAAGCTACCTATTATCGTGTCAATAACGATATTACAATTATCTGACTTTTGTTAATCTTCTACCATAAAAAATATTTTACAAGTCACGTCGAACTTGACTCATGTGAAAGTTAACTGATACTATATTGAGTACCATGAATATCGATGGAAATGATTAATAGACAATTATTTGCTACTATTGAAAGTTTTCATCTTAGAATACGTATTGAACTGATCGGCAAAAGAGACAACAAGAAATATCTTGAGAAATCGATTGATTCGTTTTGCACTGAATTTTACCTTTGAAAAACACGAATGACCTATTCATTGTTATCATATAGTATCTAATGAAAATTATAGATCCATTGTTCTTTACACTATGTCCTAATGTTTTGTCTGTTTTCAATTCGAATGAATGAAATATTTTTTTGTGGATTTATTCCTTATCTACAGATCGTCTTTCTTTCATAGAATTTTCTAATATTCGAAATCTTTCTATCAATCTATGTTTCTTCAAAAAATTCGGAATAATCTGCTAGTATATTATCAGTTAACATCGATAACTGTATGATCGATTAACAAATGTATCTTTCCATCAACTTGATTCGCAACTGCAGTAAAAGGCGATCGATAATATATTCTTTCAGTGTGAAGAATTTGATACTTTTATTCATCGGTCATTATGTATTTAAATATTCAAAATTGCATGCGTGTTGCTCTGACATGTTTGTATGTGAACAATTGATACCAAGACTAGGTCGACAGGTTATTGGAGTGGATGAAATGCCATTTACCATGTGAAACTAATTGTGTAATGATGTTTTGATTTTCACAGTCACAATAATGAGTACATATTCGATACTGAGATGATTATAAAGAAAGGTATTATTTATAGTGTTTTTCTAGATTTGTTTTGGAAGCAATACTATATCAAAGTTTTTCTAATGTATAGTAAGAAAAGCTAATCAAATCCTGTACGAACATAAAATATTGACGTACTTTTAATATCTGAGTTTGTTGTATTCAAAACATGAAATACTATGATTTTGTATGCAACATCTACATTCCAAAAGTTTATCATTTATCAGTATGGACAAAATTCAAAAAGGATTATTACATATATTCATATATGAGTGAAGAAGATAGTCATAAAACCGAAAAATGATATCATGAAATGTTTGCACAAATGAAGCACATTCAACATTTGAAATTTTCTTTCTTCACATTGTCAATATTTTCATTGTCTCTGATATACTTGAAATATGTCAATAAAAAGTTTTATCTTTTGAAGAACGATTCAAGTTATTTACATACTACGCTGAGATTTTTGGTCGAGAGCACACATCAATCCAAACAATGTCATTTTCGATTGAACCAAGAGTGGTTATTTTATTTTTCTTATCTCTTCATCGTTACTTCTGTTCCTAGACACTAAAAGAACCCCTAAACATTTTCCAACTAATCGAAAAAATATTAAAGCTGAATTCTATTTTACTATTCTTCATTGTCAAAAAGAAATTGGCTGTTCATCAGAAGTACATAGATGATTTACCTCGTCAATAATGAATACAGTTTGAAATCAACCAGTTCCTGACTAACCGTTCCTAATAATGATATGTTTCGACTGATGTATTATCTACAGTGTGTGTTTCATGTCGATTAATACAATGATCAAGATGTACGACGCTATCGTGACTATTAGAATTGCTCATTACTCAGCGGTTCTGAACAACAAGTGTTATTTCTATTAGCTCTGACATTTAGTCCCGATGAACTCGACGGAAAAGTATTTTTTCAACTAGATCACCCTTGCGATGATTGAAGTAATAAATGCTTTGGACTAAGCCAAATTCATCATCAGATATTGGCTGTCTAATCCATCATTATCGGTGGCCTAATCATTTGGTATCAAACGCATGGAATTAACAGCAAATAAAATTAGCAAAATGTTAGAAAATGCAATTAAAATTTGTACAAAAATAAACAAGTATAGATAAATATTAGACTGATGTAGCCATAAAGATATTAGATATGAAACCTGTATAGAAGTAGAAAATAGTTAAAAGAAACCAATACCAATATAAATCACTGCTGCCTAAAAAAATATGAAAATTTTGTTCTAATATGTTGAAATTTATGCTTAGAAAGATTGAAGTTGGGTGTGAGGATGTTAAGATTTCTTCATATTGTATGATATAGAGAATCTCCGACAGATTTAGAGTTCAAGATCGATGACGATCTATTTTTCTGAACAAAATTTATGGTTCATCTAGTTCTCTTGAAATAATTATCGATCTTTTTGAATGTGTATGTATATCATTCTTTAACTTTCGTACTTGTATCTACCAAGCAATATTATGAAATTTACTGTTCTATTTGCTATGATTTTCCAAATCGGAGTAATTTAATCTGCACGACAAAATTAGAAAAATGCTTTTAAATCCTTACAGTTGTCATGCAATGATGATTCAGCCGAGACACAATTTCTGTTGTATAACTATTTAACAATCAACAATTACAATAAATCTAAAAGGTAAATATTTATTAATTTCATTTCTATACGTCCTGAATAGACAGAGAACAAAAAATCTTTTAGTGTTTTTTCAATGTCATTTAGAGATATTACTCATTGCGCAGCTGTCATGTTGGCAATTTCGCTGTTCTTTTTGGTCGCATGACAATATTTTCACAAGTGAAAAAAAATGTAATCAGCAAGCATAGGTGACGAAGCAGTTCGTTCGAGTCAAACTTGCTCGTTTCTTTGTAACTCGTACTCATATGTACCGTTATTCGTTTATTGGTTGTCATCGACATCTTACATAGATCAAACAAGATCTCTCATTGCTTTTAAACTCATATTAATTGGACCTATAAAAATATTTCATATTGAAAGACTGCTATATTGCTTACGTCAGTTGATTCCCAATTGTAGATGAGCTCGGATCAAACTCGTCGAAACTTACCAGAAGAACCTTCTGAGTCAATTGTTCAACGTAGCGATCATACAACAAACACTAGTAAGATGTCATTATAAAATTAAAAAATAAATTATTATGAATTTATCATATATTTTTAGATGAAACAATGTCTTTTTCTATGCTCTTGCCAATTTCTCATGGACATATCGAAAGAAACGATTGGAAAAGCTATATTAAAAGTGTTAGAGACAATGACATTAATTGGGTGAATCAATATATCAAGCGTGGAGGTGATTTAAACAATCCAATAGTACCTCAAGGTGCAATACATTGTGCCGTATTCTATAATTTTATGGAGATGTTAAAATTGTTGCTTGAAGCTGGTATCAATGTTAATCAACAAGATGAAGATGGCGATACAGCATTACATTATGCAGTAGGAGAAACAAAAAACATTGAATGTATCAATCTACTCTTAAGTTATGGTGCATGTCCATTTATTAAAAATTATTCATCGAACGAAGAAACTCCAATAGATTTGGCTATTCGACAGAATCACAGAGAAATTATTGAATTACTAACAGAAAATATTGATCTTACAAAACGCTTATGTAAAGCAGCTGAAAATGGTGACGTTGATCTCGTTTACAATTTATTAACAACAACAAAAGTTAAAATCAATGGAATTTCACACGAATTTGTTAATCCATTGCATGAAGCATCATTAGCTGGTCATTTATCTGTAGTCAAACTTTTGAGTCAATTTAATGCTAATATTAATGCTAAAACAACATCAGAATCGACAAGATATAATACACCATTGCATTGCGCTGCAACAAAAGGTCATCTCGATATAGTAAAATATTTACTTGAAAAAGGCGCAGAAAAAGAAATTCTTAACATAAATAAACACACTCCATTGCTTTGTGCAATTATCATGGAAAGAACGAATGTTGCTGAGTATTTAATTAGAAATGGTTGTGATGTAATGGCACGAGATTCAGTCAGAAAAACACCACTTCATTGGGCATCATTCTTTGGTCTCAACGACATTATTTTATTGTTATTGGAGCATGGAGCAGATATTAATGCATTAGCTGATTTTGGACAACCTCCATTGCATTGTGCTGTTGGATATCCATTTCGTACTGAAACGATTAAATTACTCATAGAAAAAGGTGCTCATGTCAATTTAAAAAATGAAATGGGCCTTACAATTCTTGACTATTGCCACAACAACAATCCAAATGACACAGAACTGATTCAATTTATTAAACAACATGTCTCATAAGTTGTAGAACAATGAATTTTGATACGCTTTATACTAGTTAATAAATAGATTCTTATGAAGACGTAAGGACTCCCTCGTATTTAATAGGCATATCTCGATCGAAAAACTAAATTTGCCATTTTGTAGACAGCTTGATATACATTGCATTCCATATAGAGAATCATGTTTTTATCGAGCTTTTAAACAATTAGAGTGGAGTTATCAGTGTAATTTGATTGTACTCAATCATGATTAGTAAATATTCTATATGAACATCGTTAGCAGTATAGAAATTCATTCACAAATATATTCCTTATATGTTGTTCTGAAGTTTTGTTTGAGACTCTAAGCTCATTGTTAAATATGTGTTCGAGACAACACGACTTTGCATCAAATATTTTTAAATAGATGAAAAATGCGAATGACAGCATTTGCATCTAATTTTTTTCTCATGAACAGACAACTCTCATGGTTCTTAAAATGTCACAAAAATATGAGCCCAAGACTATTCGCTATTTTTGAACTATTGAATATTCCACATGAAGCACATATAGCACGAGAAAATATTACAAAATCAATTGTCGTCAACATTTGATATCTCAAAGGAGTATTTTTGTTTGACTAAACTTTTAAAAGATGTGGGTATGCGCTGTTAAAACTGGAAGAGTTGATTTAAAATTCAACATGTTTAGACAAAAGTTTAATACTTGTAAAAAATAATTAAACAGAAAATGACTTGAAATATGAGGATGATAAAAATGTTTTTCTTTTGATTGCAACTGATCTTAAATGGTTTGATTATTATTGAATGAGCACACAATCGAAGTGAATTCCATTTAACGTTCCACCAGCCATTGTTTTTTGCACATGATCTTCGAATGTGCTTGCATTCGATTTGAGTACATCAGCTGCTTCTTTGTTCAAAGGATCATATGGATTTGGGTTCTTTGAAATGAAGAAAAAATGAAAAAAAGATATATAAAGATTGAAATATTTACTGAGAAGAGAAAAACTATGCCCAAAATGACCGATGTAATGGATAATACCGGATTCCAGTCTTCTCTGAAAATGTATTGAGATATGCTCTAGCAAAAGTGGTGGTTCAATCTTTCTCACCTCAAAATATTCAAACAAACGTTGCCTTCAAGATCGATGTTTGGATGGTAGATCTTTTGTGTACATTTAACTTTGGGTGGTACATACGGATACTCTGGTCCAATGGTGAATGAAAATGTAAAGCGACCACCTTTGTAATAGCCCTAGGAGAGAATCAATTTCAGTTTAGTTGAATAACGAAAAACAATCGTACTCACGTCATCAGGCATGATAGTCAGTGTAAATTGAAGAAGATTTGTCGGATCAGGATAGGCCACCTGACACATGGATGGCAATGTACCAAGTTCACTGGATTCTGTAGAAAAAGAGAGAAAGCGCTTACTATCTTTTTCAAAAATAAAGATGAATAATTTCAAGCTTAACAGCTTGAAAATATGTAAACAGTCTGGAAAATCGGTTTCAAACCAAGTGATCATTACACAGCTAAAATGGATTCCTAGGTTTTAGCCCAATCTGCATCACATCACATGACGACATTGTTGCTCTTCTTACAGTCAATACAAGAGCGATAGGCAAATGTATGCAGAATAGTTGCTTTTGGGAATATGGAGGCTTTCAACAAACTTATCGATACTTTACTATTTTGCAACACATTCAGTCGAAACTACCTAGCAAAATTTGGAAGTCGTCATTGAACATGAAGAAAATATTATAATCATATCTACTTTCATTTCTAAATAGGCTATGTGGTCAGTGTTGATTATACAGATGGAAAACATCAGTAGCTAAAGATCTACAGTTTTCTTAGAATTTTTATGGAAAAATCTGAACGTTTAGATTTCTCACGATCACTTCAAAATATCTTGAAAATATCTAGTCGATGAAGTTAAAGATTCTTTATAACGTTATCTAATTAGAAACAATACACGTTTTTCTCCCCAGGTCGCACATTCTAATGATAAGGTGTGCTATTAATACAGTACGAAAAATGCCATGGAACTATACCAACCGACCGATTTCGATGCAAAACAATGACGAAGGTCATCGAAATTCGCAAATTTCTTATGATCAGATTCCGGCTGAACAATCAACGAAAATTCGTGACAGCCATCGATCGATTGTGTTCAATACGATCGGAGAAGCTCCTTTGAGATCCGTTCGATGGGTTTCGATTACGACAAGTATATTGAAAAACTACAGCAGCTTCTGACCATTCCAAATAATCAAATATGTTTCCAAGCCTATCAGTTTTGACGCTTCCCAGCGAAAGATCGCATGAAAATAATCTCTCATTGATATGTCATCAAATCCATGTTCACAAGCACGGTGCAAGCCAAAGCCCCATACGATCATTCAAATTGATTTGACTACGCAAAGAATAAATCATTACACAGTCATTTTCTTTGATGAAGTCTTCAAACCCAAAAAAATTGGAAAAGTACTCTTTCCTACTTCGATGCAACTGTTTGAAGTCTTATTTTACTCATTATTCTCATGAACGATAGATTCGAATTGCAATTCGCTCATATCAAGTGAGTTCAGTTCAGATTTCATATTAGTTGCTTCTATGTTTTGATTCATTACCAAAACTTCGGTTTCCAGTACGGTGTCGGTGAGTACTTCGTTCATGCGCATTTAGACGATTTTCGTCGTGATTGACATTGTTCCATACGAACGGCGTTTACCTAATTCCGTTGTTTTCAATGTGAACGGTGAACGATTTGTAGATAATTCGTTTATGATAAAAACTTCGTTTTTAGAGGATCTAGCTTTTGAACTCCTCAATCCTCGAAAAAATTGTAAAATGCTTCTGATTAGATAGCGTTCTAGAGAAT